AGGATGTATATGTGCGGATGCTGTTGCCTACGGGCAACGCGTTTCCCCGGCAACACGCTTTTGCCGTGTCTGCGCACGCCACCGCGAAGAACAACGTAAACAGAGAATATGCGAATATGCCATCAGAGACATCTATATACTGGCTTCCTGCTTTTTATATGGTCTTGATCGATTTGCAAACTACCAATCTAAGATAAAAGAGAAAAGAAAGAATTTTCGCCACGTGTTTTGCTTATTTACTTCATATTAAAACAACCTTATTTTCTTTTATGATAATACGAGCCCACTGATTTTACTTTTGGAATAGACACGCGAAGGGAAAAAATTTGCCGAAGGAGTATTAGTTTCCTTCTTGAAAAATTTATAAATAGAGCCTCGTCAATCGGTTTTAACTGGTGTCTTCCAACTGATATTTATGACATGTTCGCTGGTTTCTGGTAGAATACCGTTTTTTTCAGATAGATTTTATTTCTTTATAGGAGTGTCTAATGAAATCACTTTCACGCTTGACGGTTAATTGTTCCGATACAGTGATATCAAAATGGAGCTTGGCGAGTCTAATAAACGTAATTAACGGATTCAATTATGACATGGATAATTAACTCCGTAGCTACTGATTAGAAATCTTCATGCACATAAAACAAATACGAACGTTTAGCATGTTGTTTAACAATTGAAATTGAGTTAACTTTAAAATAAATATAAAAACTTTCAGAACGAGTATAACATGTATATCGAAATCTTCTTAAATCAGATAAACTATATTCAAGTATTTTCATTATAATTTATCATTTTTCATTAAAATTGTTAATTTATTCATCTAAACTTTTGTTTTTTGTACACTAATCTTTCTAATTGGTCTTCATACTACGAATTATGTGTTCGTTTAGAAATTTTATGTTAAGGTAATAAATCAGTCTATATGTTAAACTGCAAAAAAAAATTTAAAGTTACATAAGACCAACAATGTTGATTTCGTTTTACATGAATAGTGTTCTTGAATTGAAACAAAAATTTTATGGAAGGTATATAAGTATTTTTGAAAAAATCCACAGAATTATACAAAAGAATGATTTTAGATTTGAACAAAAATATTATGTATCAGCCAATACAATCGCATGCGTAAAAAATTATCAATTAAAAAAATTTTTTTTTTTGCAGCATGACTATCAGTAATCAATCGTTCCGATCTCAAACAATTCGCGCGTCTCAATGATGCGCAACGCGCAGTTCGCGCAAACTCCGTTCTTTTTTATTCGACGTGCTTGCTTGTTTATCTCTGTGGACTTTCGAAAGCGACAAAATGGCGTCCCACACGACGTATGTGCATATCGAATGCACCTTCACCTTGTAAGGGGAAACCCTTCGAAGCTCAGATTCCACTATACACGTGCCTTTCTATATATTTTACGGCGAGATCTCACGAGCTTTTCAAAACGATGATCTGCACATGCTCAGAATAACTTTGTATATTTATACGTTAATAATTACGCTGTTTCTTTTTCTTTTTAAAAAAAGTTCTGTTTTCATTAACGATCGATCGAATGAAAATTTAACTGATAAGAAAATAAAAAAAGACAACTATTATTATTCTAAGTTGATTCGTTTGTTCTAACCTCAAAGCTCGCTACGTAATAAACACGCGTGCAACTGACAATATGGTTTTTCATATTCTAGCGGTTTACCTGGTTTTTCAATTTTTTATGGAAAATTTGAATGAGTTTTCCAACGATATCAATTTATCGTAATGTCATATTACAATGAAAGCAATTTCAGTCGCACGAAAATCATAAACTTACACGAAAACTTTACATAACACTTGCACTTTATTAAATTAATGTCCCTTGGTGATAAACAATAAAATACCCGGTAAGCGACCTTAATATTGCGAACATGTGGACAACATAAGGGACGTACGTCTAGCTACGAGAACGGGAAAAAGTATATATAATGGACAGTCACAGTTGCGTTTTCCCACAGCGCCTCGAGGAGAGACAAAACTTCTCTGCACGTGTCGTCTGCTACAGGGCAGAACACTGCAATATTGCGGGCGCCGTCGTTTGGCTGCTACTGCTGCTGCTGCTGCTGCTCCTCTACTCGTGTTACATAAAGGCTCAAACTGACCACGCTGTATGTAAATAAACGCTGACAATCGGATCCGCATCAAAATGTGCTTTTTTCGTTATTGTTGCTTTTCCTTTTTCACACTGGTAATTCAATTCTCTCAGAAAATAAAATAAAAATCCGTGCTTCAACTTTGAAGGGATATTCGGGGATGGATGACAACAATTGTAGGCAGATGCCGGGGAATGGTTGATTGTTCGGTAGGAGAGGACTGATAACGGTTGCGAAATTCTGCGGCGTGCACCACGAGAAATGGCCACGGCATCACTTGCACACGGCATTAACATGGTCGTGCGCGTATATTATCACTTCGTAAACGATACTCCATAGTCAACTGGCGGCTCTTTAAATCGACGGATAGTTGTTGTGCGCGTGTTGAAGAATGAAAATTATCTCGTATAGTGTCATAAATACACGAAAAATCTGGAACGAATACGGCAATGATGAGGGGTTAGGTATCTGCATGATGAACACGAAAAACTATATAAAATTCAAGGCATTGAATGCGGTAAGTTTCGTCAACGAAAAAACGTCAACATGAACGAACTTTTTCGTATGCACATCATGAGGAATGTTCATGGGACAACTATGCCTTGCGTTTTCGCAAAAACTTCGTGCGAGTTAATGACATTTTTCAATTTATTTGACACTCTCTATCACTTTTTTCACAGCAACGCGCAATCACTCGATTATTCACGAACTGCGGGATGAAAAGATAAATTATTTAACAAATTGGACTTACACGTTAGATAGAGTAGACTGTTCTTGGTTGATTTTCGGGAGACTCGCGGTTGCATCTCAAGCACGCTCGAGCACAAACAGCCAGCTGATCAGGACGCCATGTTTTGACGTCACCATGCGCTCCAATAAAAATAGTCACGAGGTATTCCCTTACCACCGCAGCATCGCCATTGGTGCACTTTGCACACGTGCATTCGGCGCTCGAGAGCTATCGATTTTTGGATTATCGAGCTGCTAATTGCCGCGCTATTCGAATATTATTTACGAACGTTACGACCGATTTTTGAAATCAATTATCTCAATTGAAGCTGACAGCCTACTACATCCTCGGTTATTTTTATTAAAAAATATCCTCGATTATTTAAAAAAAATCATCGGTTAGCGAATATAATTTCGAATTTTCCCGCAGAATTAATTAACCAATCGCGTGTTAGTTGAGCACTTAAAGGGCCTTAGTCTTGTCTGTCTTTTAACCATGGAGACTATACAGTCTCCATGCCTATAGCTCATAGTATAGTACATCAGTGTGCAGCGTGCAGTAGCAGTGGCCATCAATGGCGGCGGCTCCATGTATTCTGAGTTCTCAGAAAACATCGTCGCAATCGCCGGTTTACCGGAGAAAATTACACAGTCGTCATCTGATCAATCACCATTGGATTCTTTTGTTAGGTTAGTGTTGCTATGTTCCTCGAGTATCTGCGTCGTTCGCGCTTTTAGCGCGTCATAATTATCTCAATCCGATAAGGATTTGTCAGTTTCGTTCTTTCTTAATATATTGAAGTGAGAGAGAAAGAGAGGGAGAGAGCAAGAGACGCACTCGTCAGTGTGTTATTTGTTGTGGCATAAATAAAAATCATACCGATCCGTTGAGAAATTTACAATATATCTTCAAGCATGTTTTATCCTCCCATTTATCTGACTTCAGAAGTATACGAGCGAAAACTGTATTTTTCTCTCTCTCTCTCTTCCTTTTTTGATTTGGAAAAAGTTTTTTTCTCTTTTCTATATTATTTTTAGATTCATGTTGTTGCTTTATTATTATATATTGGGTTCGGGATGGTAATGATTATCTTCGGTGCAATACTGATTATTTGAATAGAGTTATAGTATATAATGATACTAGTGCTATAAGTGAGACTTAATTAATATCATGGCGAGATACGCGAGGCCTCAAGGACAGTGAGGGCGGTTAACACCGCGTTGTCGAGCGTCACTTAGGACAGCGCTGCATAGAATTTACGTTTAAACGCGTACGATTCGTTATAAAAGAATTGACAAGCATAACTAGAAATATTTGATTATTTTCACTAGTGTCAACGATTATCGCAAAAACATACTTCGAAACTGCAGTAAAATAATGCAAAACGCAACTTAATAATTGTCAAATAATCGTCAACCTCTAAATTGATCTTGTAAAAGTTTGTTTTGCTTGAGATTTCTACTTCACTTACCATTGTGAAGTGCTGCTGATATGGATAACTTTTATTGAACATTTATAATAATTAATTTTGTTTTGTAGAGTAAAATTTCAATTGTAAAATCTATTGTCATTGAATAATGCTTAATTCGGTAGCATTGACAATGCTTCACACGTTGATGTAACAAAATATACACAAAATTTATAAATGTTTATAATTATCTTTTATCGGACTAAGTCTTGTAAATAGAAAATTTCATCAATTTGCAAGTTACAAAAATTACTAAAGTCAAGGTGTATTTTGCATTATTTTGCTACTGATGTAGTTTCAAAGTATGGGACATTGATTCTAATGAAAATAATCAAGTATTTTTAGTCACGCCTGTCATTTCTTTGTTCCTACGAATCGTACGCGTTCGAAAACAACCGCTTGCGCTTATATAGTGCTGTCCTTATCTCACGTCTTTCCATGACAGTAGTTCAAAATTGCACAGTGAGGCCCGAACGCCAGCGAGGTCTTTGGCACACTATATTATACAGCGAATTTACATTTTTCAAACTTAAAATGTATCTCATTTTACAAACAGCCTTGTTACCATATTAAAGTATATCTATCTAATAGAGCAAGATTTGTAGTTGTATATGTGTGAGGTGATTTATCAGCTAGTATGTCAAGAGTATGCTGAGCTTTTTCTTCTTTTTGAAATAAATTTTTAGCAATTCATACAGTTATATTCCTACTCTAATTCTTCATTATTGATAAACTTGAGCTTGAAGTTTGACTCTAATTACATGGCAATGAGATTTGCAAAAATATAAATTCATCTGTATCTACCTTTCACTGCCACATTCTCACTTTAATAGAAAATGTGATTAGTACTAGCTTATGTAAGAAATAGTTAATTAACTGTGAAGTAATGAATTTCAATTAATAATAGCAATCTACCTTGTTACAGAAAGTGCAAAACCTACTTTTGAAAAATGAGTATTTTTAATCACACAGACAGTAATTACCTGCGGAAAAATCATAAAATAAATCCAAGTCCGGCTCTTATGCAAAGTATAGATAGTTCCTTAGCTTACAATCATAATTCACGCTTGTCAAACTTGCCTGTAAATAATTCTTCTGACATGAGTGAAAATCCATCGCTGCATGGTGTATCTTCTTGTGAAATAGATCCAAAGATCAAAAGATACTTGTGTTCAGTGGATAGCTTTTTACTTATTGATGGAAATGAGTACCTCAAGGTATTTAAATAAATTTCCAATTCGTAAAATAATCAAATCAAAGAAAATCATATAATAAAGTTTGTATGATAATTATTGTAGGTAACTAACGTTGACCAGTTTATTCAGAGGCTGGGCTGTGTAAATAAGGAACTTAAAGTTAAGGTGGTTTCGATATTTGGTAATACAGGCGATGGTAAAAGTCACACGCTCAACCACACTTTCTTTCATGGTGATGAAATATTCCGCACTTCAAACGAACAGCATTCATGTACTTTGGGAGTATGGACAGCCTTTGATCCAATTCAAAAAGTGATCTGTCTTGATACCGAAGGTCTTCTTGGTGTTACCAATCACGAGAATGTCAGAACTCGTCTGCTTCTGAAAGTTCTTGCAATCTCGGACATCGTCATTTACAGAACTCGCGCGGAAAGATTACACAGGGATATGTATACATTCCTTGGGGCTGCTTCTAGGGCATATAGTCATTACTTTCAATCTGCACTGCAAGCGGTAAGTCAGAAAGAGGGATTACAATCAGTCAATGCACTCGGCCCTAGTGTTATTATCTTCCACGAGACTCGTAATACAAGGACCTACCTCAACAGTAAGTTTTTTACAAAATAAACTTTTTTAAGTAATATTATTTTTTATTACTTTTATAACAACTATCGTATTACATTCAGCTGCTAGTGAGAGTGCAGAAGACATTCTACGTGACAGATTTGCACAAATGGAACTTGAAATTGAAGCTTTCAGCTCCATCAAGTATGTAGGCGTTGAAACAGTTGAGCTACCAACAAACTATGATCCATTGAAAATAGCTATTAAAAACGAGCTACACAATACAACAGTACGTTCTGCTAGAAAGCCTCATCTAGTTTACAGTACACTTAAGATGCTCAACGACAAATTCTCTGGGGAGATCGAGAATGTTACGAATATTTTATTTCCCGATCAGTACTTCACTTGCCCGGTTAAATGTTTCAGTTGTAGTAGTCGTTGTGAAAACAGTATGGGGCATATACGTGAAGGAAAGCCTCACAGGAGTGATCAGAGGTAAGGTGTTACATAGAAAAAAAATTTTGTTCCATTAGACTAATATCTTATAACGTCGATTTTTAGATGCCGACATCAGCATCAATACGAGAATTTAGTATACATTTGCAAAAAGTGTCACAGCAACGGTAATGAAGAAATAGTGACGAGTCGCATCCAAACTCAAAATGACAACAGTTGGTATGGGCTTGCAAAATACGCTTGGTCAGGCTACGTGATTGAGTGTCCTCGATGTGGCGAAATTTATCGTAGCCGGCAACACTGGTTCGGTAACAAGAATCCTGAAGATTCAGCTGTCAGAACGGAGATTACTCACGTTTGGAATTTGGTAGGTATATATTAGATGTGACTTGGAATTTTATAGCTGTTTCGCTTTATTTTTACAAGCTACCGCAGATTTACATAGTTTGGATAAGATGGTGAATGAAAAAGCAGAATCGATCAGAAAACTTTTTTTTTAGATTTAGCATTACTCTTTAGATCTTAAATAGTTCAGTAATCTCTTGTAAATATCATTTTTGATAGTCTACATAGAGAAAGTTAAAAATAGAAGTATAGTATTTACTTATACTTACGTTATTCGAAGTTCGCAAAATTAATAATAATATCTTATATCACCAGCCAAATACATCATTGACCACTCAAAATACAGCTCAACGCATGGTGGATGGTGTATCATACTTAACCGAAGCTATGACAAACCTATCCCTACAACCAACAAAAGCATTAACTGCTTGGATGGCAGACCAGGTAGCCCCAGCTTATTGGCGTCCAAACAGCGAGATTCGTCACTGTCACAAATGCAACTTACCCTTCGCTCCAACAGACACGAAGCATCATTGCCGCGCTTGTGGTGAAGGTTTCTGCGAAACTTGCTCCAGCAAGATCAAATGTGTACCTGAAAGAAATTGGTTTAGGCCTGTGCGTGTTTGCGACGACTGTTATAACAAGGATCCTAATTCTAATGAGCTTGGTGATGATGTTAGCGTGAGAAAGGTGTCTGAGCATGTTGTGTCTACTTTGAGTGCAGTTGGATCAGTTTTAACCTACTCCAAATGTAAGTGTGCACTACAATAATTTCATAATTATTTTTCGTCAAGTATTAAATTAATTTAATTTTTTAACTACAGCTTTGGTGAAGGAACAAGCACGTCCCTCATACTGGGTGCCCGATTCCGAAGTAATCAATTGCTGCGTGTGCGACAAACATTTCGGTGGCATTGTTACTTTACACCATTGTCGTGACTGTGGACGTGGAGTTTGTCAGGATTGTTCACCACACCGAAAGCCAGTACCTAGACGAGGATGGGACCATCCTGTACGTGTTTGCGATGCTTGCACGAAGATCGATTGAGTGAACTCGGTTTGCTTGTGATATTAAACAATTCAAAAGATATTTTAATCCTTTAATCTTTTGAATTATTAAAATAAACAAGTATTTTAGAATATTTTGAGTAGATTTATGGAGAAAGAAAATGAAAAAAAGAGATTGATTTCATGCTCGTAATTTTATGGAGTGATTTTTATGATTTTGTTTTTTAATTGTAAACGATAGTATAGTTAATGTTTAGTAGAGTAGTATATGAATTCTATAAAATAATAATTAAGAGTACAATATTGAGAGATTTTAGTAAGATAATGAAACGAGATGAGTTATACATTAAGATTTAGAAAGAAAGAGAAATAGCCAATATTTTCATACGTGGAGAAGATAATAAATTAATTTTTTATGTTTAGTCAGTAAAATATAGATAAATATAAAATTTTCATAATTTCTACAGGATTTTACGTTACACTAATGTTCATAGTGTAAATAAGATAAAAGAAGTTGTATTACATTACTGTAAAGGTGTACAAACCCATTTTCTACACAATGAAATTATTTTATGAAAATATTTCTTATTGAATGAAAGAAAACTAATAGTCTCGACGCAAATTAACCAAGAAAAGACCAAAATATTTTTTCATGCAAATCTATTTTGTATCGAGTTTTATTTATAAAAAATTATGATGAAATTGATGGACTGACAATTTTTGGGCTTGTGAAATAAATTAAAAATAAACGAGTATCGCGATGTAAAAGAATATAATTACATACGCGCGCGCACCCACACACATACACACACATCTACACTAGACAGTATAAAAAAAGATGTTTGATGCCATAGTTATATTAGTATTAGTTTAATTCTTTTTTATATACTACAGACCAAAGTAATGTTTTTGTTCATATTTTAACAGAATATATTAACTAGCATTTCTTTGAGTTACTTTTCTCTGTTTTGCATTTTGATATGCAACAATATATTACTAGCATGAGTAAAATTACTGAAAGAAGTTCATAGATAAATGAAAAAAAAAAATTTATAAAAAAATAGAACATTTTTTTTGTATATATAAATAAAAGAAATAGTAGACCCGTTGTATTGAATACATAACATCGATATAAATAGTTCAACATGAAAATTAGATTGTAAGAAACATGGTTGTTCAGAAATGGTTATTGATAGTGCAAATACATGTCTGCGAAAAGGCTGTGAAATAAATAAAATGTATTTTCATGGTAAACATCGATGCATCACAAAAAAAAACAAGATACCATAACGGTATCTTATATTGCTATAACATCCTTCCTAATATTTTTCGTGTATGTAATAGACCATTAACTGTTACATTCCACAAATCCATAGATTTTGTTAGCCTAAATTGGCAAAATAAGTGTAGTGTTCATGAAGCGATAAATTATAAAAAAGTTATCTCTTTGTAAATTACCTGTTTTTCTTACGATGAAGAAATAAAGTCTTAAATTCTACAATAGTGTTTACTCATTAAAATATATATCTGTATTTCCTTCGTTTTTTATATTTATCTTCCAACTAAAGAATTTTCCTTTCAATTTACTAATTAATTATTGAAAATGTAAATTACTATGTTTTTCAATGTTTCTAAGATTACGATACGGATTACTTTGAATTTCAGCAGAATTTTTTCCTAATACGATGTCTGAAGATTGTTTCTTGGTAAATAATTTCAAATTTTAATGTAACCTAGATTATAAAAAAGGTTTATCTTGCTAAAACGGATTACAAAGAAATGGTAGTATTTTAAAGAATTTTTCTCGTTTATTTTCTCACATATCGTTGTTCTCATTTTACAACCTTATAATTTGTTATTAAACTAGTAGAGGAGAGAAATGAAGTAGCCAAAGAAAAAAAATAGTGTGTGCAATCGAGTAGAGATGTGAAGGTGTGGTATAGGTGATTCTCTATTATAATCGTAGTTAAAATCAAACATACTTGTATAATTACAACGTAAAATTAACTTTAAACGTTACAATTACAATTGCGTGCTTATTAATGTATGTGTAGTATAGGTGCTAAAAGCGAGAAAAACAAGATTTATCGCCTTATATTTTTTTCGGTTATGACGTGATGATAGTCGATCTTTTCCTCTATTCCATGATTCTACTGCGAGTAGAAAATGTTTATAATAATGTAGTTCATTAAATTTGTTTTATGTACAGATATTATAAAGCGCAATTTGTTTGCTCGGTTTATTTTTTGTTCCTGTCTAACCACATGATTTACGTTTGTCCTCTCAAAGAGAGAAAAGAATTTCAAAATACAGTGAAAATAAAAGTACCATGAAGAGCATAACAAAAGCAACGGGATTACAAAAAAAAATTATAAAGAAAACAAAAACAAAAAAAAAGTAATAACAATTCAAAGCGTATAAAGCCTTAAGCCTGAATTTTTTTTTTGACACACGATTTGAAGACATGATTTTTTTTCAGTACTGATGATTACGTGATACGTATAGCTGCATTCTCGATGAACGATTTTTATTTTAATTTATTTTAAAAAATCGTCTCGCCTCTAATAATTTGTTTTGTTTAAGATCTCTCGTAGCTTCGAAAAATATTTATAAAAATAAATACTTTGATTAAGTTCATTTTTTCACTTCATTTCACTACAGTATATATTGGTATATATAATATATATAATATTCATAATAAATAAGTAATAAATCAAATAAATAAATAATTTGTATGCTCGCGATTAATATAGGATATTTTTTTCTTCACGTGTTTTGTTTTGTAAAGCAAGTATGGTAGGGCAAGTTCGTAAAAATTGTATTACCCGCCGTATTTCCGTATCTTTTTTCTCTCTCATTATTCGTTCGCCGCATGTTATTTTTTTATAAAAAAATAGGACAATTTTAAATCGATTTAACAAAAAAAAAAAAAAAAAAAATACGACTCCCGCTGTTCTGAGATTATGGCAAAATACTCTGGTGAGATTTGGCATACGAATCGTTTGGCATCGTCGACTCGTTTCTTATATTCTTTCTTTTTCTCTTTTTTGTTTTTTTGTTTTTATAAGCTCATCCACTTACCGCGCAAAAACGCTATGTAAAATTGTAAAATTTATTTTTATTATCGTTGGGATATGTATATTGTCTCAAAAAATTTGGATTCTTCATATGTATAAGTATCGAAAAATGATAAAAGCCTTCCTTTGCTTAATTGTTTTCTTTGGTAGGCCTTTTGTGCGAGTGACTCCGCTTCAAGCAGAGACGTAATAAGCTTTATTTTTCATTTATGGACGAATCTTGAGAGATCCTAAAACGATATATATTATGCGATAACTTGATTGTTTTTGTTTTTTTTTGTGTCATTCGAGTTATTGTTTTTTGCATGTTTATAAATCCGATTCGCCGTAGAGGGCTGTGGAGAACGAACGGTAGTCGAGGGCGCCAGGTTGTGCATTTGGCCCTTTATATGGTGGCATTCGTAGTATGCAATATTCAGCCTGGTCGGGTGGCAGTTCTCTCCTCAACTCGTCGGCGAGGATATAGGGCTAAAATTAAGAAGAAAAAATGTAAGTATTTTAATTTCGTTTTCAATTATCTAGATAATAAAACCTACCTTGTCACCAGCTAGAATGCGGAAACTATCGATGACCTGCTCGGCAGTGTCGGTATCCGTCGACTCGCGGGTCATAAAGTCGAGGAAGGCGTCGAATTGAACATAACCAGAATTGTTGGGATCGACAATGGCGAGAATACGTTGGAAGTCAATGTCACCTTGACGATCCTTGCCGATCGAGTAGCCCAATGATACGAGGCACGACTTGAATTCCTCTGGCGCCAGTCGACCTGTTCGGTTCTTGTCGAAATGATTGAAGCTGCTGCGGAATTCGCTTAGTTGTTCTTGCGTTATTCCCTAAAAAATAAACGCATAAAAATTAACATTCATCAAACAGCGTAGTTCTCGTAATGTGATCAAGTAATTGAAATAATTAAAGTAATTAATTAATTAAGGTACTAAGTCTAAGGTAATTACCTTGGAATCACGAGTAAGAATCTGGTTTTCAACCTCATTGATATTACGATTGATGGAAGTGAGTAACTGTTCCCATCCGACGCGCAGTGTCTCCATGGTGTATTGAGTGTAACGATTTTCAAATATCATACCTTCTTGCACCGCTTGGTGAATCTTTTCGAGCTCCTCAAGATGAGCTTTGTATGCATATACAGCTTGTTCGTATTCTTTGAGTCTGTGCAGCTGGTCTTCAAGTGTACCCTGCAAATAAGATCAAGTTTTCGTTAGAAATGTTGAGGATTGACAGCTTAAACGAGTGAAAACTACCTGTAATCCAAGACCAATGGCAGTAACAGCATCAAGTTGTCGCTCAATCCATGGTCCTACTGCATTTGCCTTTTCGGCAAACTGCCTGCGCAGGAGCTCATTATCTGTTTACGCGATAACAAAAGATAAATTTATTTAACACAATTTAAAATACAGATGAATAATTAGAAAATAGAATTACTTTGTTGTTTGCGTAATTCAGCGGCAAGTGTACCGTCACGCTGTGGCACCAACTGCCTAACATCACTCCATTTTTTAGTAAGATCCTGAAAAATCCAAAACAACATGTTAAGATTTCGCAAATGATATTTATATATTTGCACTGGCTTACCAAAGCAGTAAGAGTAGTGTAGGGGTTCTCAAGACCTCCAGGAATTTGGAACTGCTTAACAATGGACTCGACTTCGCGCACTAAACCAACGATCGAATTGTATTCCTTGTCGGCTTCTCCGAGTGTTGCTTTGAATGCTGAGTGAGCATCCATTAGACCTTGAATTTCTTCCATTGTATGGACGATAAACATGTCGACGAGATCCTCTCGTGTACCATCCAACCAATTATTAAACGGCTAAGAGTGTTAATTTTCATTAATTTCTGTATGTTAAGAGATAAGGGCATGACGAGTTAGTGACTTACAGCAGCGCGTTTGGCAAATTCCAAATGCAAGACGTCAATCTTTTCTAAGATACGTTCAGCTTCGTCGAGCGCTTGACGTCTACGTTGAGTCAACGAACCAAGACGATCCCATTGATCGCAGATTCTCTGGCATCTTGCATTAACGGAAGCACTGTCGTGATATTCCAAAGTGCTAAAACAGGACAAAACGAATATATGAATATTAGCCGCCGGTTTTAAAAAAATTCTCATGGTAGAATAATCTTGCACTCACTTAAGCTCCTGAGCAATAGCAGCAATCTGCTCAACGCGATCCTGATGAGCAGCGAGATCCGACTCAAAAGCCTCGTGTTTCTTCTTCAAAGCCTTGAGTTCGTTGAGCTTGCACTGTCTGAAATGCTGCGAAGTAAGCATCTCTTCTTTACCGGCAGTCCAGTCCTCGTGAGCATCGGCTTTGTGCTTGAATTTCTGAGCGAGATGCTCGAGGCGTTCGAGTCTCATCATCTCCGAGAGTAGCCAGTCCTCAAAGGCCTTCTCGGCTGTTTCAAGACCTTTCCAAGCCTTATTGATGTCCGACACCATCTTTCCTTCAGTCGGCATGTAGGCAGGTCGGTTACTCAACCTTAACTTCGTTTGTAGGGTATTGAAGTTCGTCTCTAATTTGGCTTTCTGTTCCACGCGTGGTGGCTTGTGCTTGCGCCTGTAAGTACGATATTCCTCAAGTTTCTTTTGACAGCCAGCAAGTGAGTTGTCGGTTTGACGGCTGTTCAGCCACGGCATCGTACGTCGGATCCATTCCAGGAGATCGGATGCCAAACGTTCGTACTCTTCCATTAAGCGTTCGTTTTCTTGGTTGACTTTCAACACTTTGCAGATCCTATTGGCTGCGGTTTCAGCCTACAAATATTCACGGTTTATCGGACGCCATCGAAACTTGTTATGCTTTCGACGATAAGAGGAACTCAAGCGTTGTATTACTGAATTTTAATGCTTTATTAGTGGAATAATTTGCACACACCTTTTGAGCGCCACTGAAACAATGGTAGTACGACGACACGTACGTCATGACGGCTCTCTCGTCGGGCATAGCTGTGTTACGCATGTCTAGAAAAACACAGTCAAAAAAAAAAACTCAAACTCATGCATTTTGTTAACAGCGCATATCGTTGTCGTAATGATCGATATGTAATTTGTTATTGTAATAATACACGTTGGAAACATGACGTCTGTGTTACCGACGAAGCATTCGATTGGATGCCGACAGAATGCAATTTGGTATTAATATAAGTTGGGTTACTCAGGTGCGAGGACAGGAAAGGAATAAAACACACAAGCAGTCCACGCAGAGTTAGCTGCTGACCTGCTGAGCGCCTTGGAAGGCATGGTAATAGCAGGATACGTAGGTCATGATCGCCCTTTCGTCCGGCTTAGGAGTGTTGATCAAATCTATCGTTTTCAAAAGAATGAAAGGTAAGAGATTAAGAATCGACGGTTTCTCGCGCAAAGTGTTCCGGAGTGACTATCATTCAAGAGACGACTAAAGCCGAGCTTTTCGCGTCGGCTTTCGAGCTTTAGTTTACGGCAATTTCATACCATCGGGATCCAACATGCGCGGAATGTCGAGATACTTCTCGGCGACGTCGAAGGCCGTGTTGAGATTCTCCAGTGGATTGTCTTTGCTGAGCTTATGATAATCGATGAGATCGGGCCGATGACGATGAATGAGAGCACAGAATGCCAGACCATCCTTGAACGACAGATGGAAGTTCTGCACGTTGACGTTCTTGTAGGGCGCGGTTTTACGTTGACACCACAGCAACAGACCCTCTTTCGCGGTCATCTCTTCCACGGAGATGTCTTGGATGGCGAAGCGTAGAATTATCGTCCATATCATACCGAGAGTCATCTTCAGATTGCCGTCGACGATTTCTATCGCACGTATGGGAAATTTCGAGAGTATAGCGGTTGATTTCGCTTGGCTCCAGGCCAGAGCTCAACGCAGCTCGCGCGAGAGCGACAAAACCTACGTACCTTCGGCACCAATCGACACGAGCTTGACGCCTTTGCTGGCGATAAAGTCGAGGGCCTTGTTGACATTGGCGATTTTGTGGAATCGCATCTTGCCGCGGTCGGGTTTCGGTAAAGTCTCCCCGGAGATCACCTCCAGTAGGAGCATCAGCTTCAGGCCATTTCTGAAGTCTTCTTCGATCGATTCGATGGCAGTTCCTGCCTTTCGTAAGTGTGAGTTGCACCATGCTGTGAAGGTCTACAATGAATCAGAAAAATGTAACGCTTAAGTATTTCACTAATTTCGATAGACTGATATTGTAATGAATTTTTATGCGACTTTGGAAAACTTTCTCACAGAAAATCATTGCGTATGAAGATTCACATTGCTTATTTAAATTAAACGAAATATTTAAAGCGTCGAGAAAACTTTCGAGCGTCATTAGCGAATTGAAAGCACAATACAAAGGCACACATTGACGACGTGCATGCATCAATTACACAGCAATTGACAAACGACCAATAATTTGTTCGAGCTAGATTTTCCCATGTCTAGCTCTAATTTCTCGAGCAATGAACGAAACTTTCAAAGACACGCGAGATTCGCACGATGCAAATTCTTGCCTGGAAATCGAGCGGCGTGACAATCGCTTTTATAGAACGACCGAATTCAACGGTGGAATCCATACCGTTTTCACCTATAAAGAACTCCGACGACGACGTACACAATAGTTGCTGATCGCAGCGAAAAACCAACGATTTCGCGCCTTAGCAGGACTAGCACACGCAGCGTTATGAATTCCAGCTCGCTCGCTCTTTTTTCCTTTGCGTGTTACTTTCGTCAGCTATGAATTCCAACCGGAAAAAGTTTGCTCAGATTATTAACCTAATGACCTTTTCCAATTTTTCAGAAATATTTGCGAACTGTTAAGAACTTTAGGAAGGTTTAAAAATTTTCTCTTTTCTGGTCAACGACAGACATCTTCGTTGACGAAACAAATTCGGGTTAAAATTATCTGGTTACAGATGCGTTCAAAACTATGCTACATATACAGCTGTTTCGAGCTATATAAAAAATGACCGGTGCTTTCAGTGTTGGTAGTATACAAGGTTTCTTTTTTCCCGCAGCCGTTTTTCATGCATGTTTTTCCTTGACGCTAATCGGTGTCATGGATGCATCTCGATACCTTGAATTTTTATACTCGCGAAATACGGATGAATTCGTTTCAGATTCGACTCCTGTAACATTGTTAATATTTGATTTGGACTTATTGACTTTCGCCGTTTTATTCTATATTTCTTAAAATAATTTTCATTATAGAGTTCGAAGTATGATGCCTTTGGAAGCTGCTTGACTTAACCTCAAATATAGATTCCCACAAACGACGAGAAGCTGTAATTATCGTCGTGGTATTCATTGTTTACATCCGAAAATAGAAGAACGTCACTCGGTTGACCAACCAACATCATACGCTCTCCCTTCGAAACAACTTATTTCGAAAACGTAAACCCAAACCCTAGATCTTTTGTGGACGTAACCTCGAAAGAATCGCTAAAAAAATTGGTACAATTGGTAGGTCGAAATTTGTCACGGAAAATCGGGGTTTTTCTTGCGCATATCACGGCGGCCCACCGACGCACGCGAAATTTCATAGCATTTGACTGCTAGCCGCGCTTTGTGTATATTTTAGTAACGACCCCGATCCCTCTTAGCTATATATATCTAGTGTCCTGGTTCTCTATCTCTCTCCGCGCAAGACGCTCTTTCTCTCTCTCGGGCTTGTGATACTTTAATAAAGCTGATCTTTTATTCATCGCGGAGGGCACACGCACGCGCACAGGATACCATTGTCTGCTACAATTTTTCTTTCTTTTTTGTTGCTCTTGGCGATGGGTTTCTATAAATACGATAATGTGCAATTTTTAACATGCTTGATAAGACAATAGGATCGAATTCTTCGCGCGTTTATTAAGATGTGTCAAAGCGCTGAACGGCACTCCATCATTTTTGTTGTTAGGCTGTTTTGATGAATTGCGGTGTGAGAGGTATGCTTGATAAAATCTGGCTTCAGTTCTTATGCATTATAACTTTTTCATGAATTTGAGGTTATGAAGACAATTGTTCTTAATTACCACGATTGAAATTTATGACTATAATATATTGTATGAAGAAGTAAGTTATAGCTGTATTTGATTACTAGTTTAAAAATAAACAGCTTGAAATATAGTATTGAAAATCTCGATGACGATGATTTAACAGTTTGAGGTTATGCGTTCAATAATTCAATAAAATTACAAGTAATAACAGTAACACAATCAGATAATATCTTAATCATTGAAAATTGTCGATAAAGAAAACACCTGTAACCCACAAAAAATGGATTTTTTTCCAACGCTGAAAAATATTGGGTGAAACTTAATACGGCTGGCGTAAAGCTCGTAGCCCGGCCAAAATTGGACATGAGCCACCTTAACTTCAACTCGTTCTCGCCTGTTTCTCTCTCTCTCTCTCTCTCTCTCTCTCTCTCACTCTCACTCTCGCCTCTACGATCTATTTGTAAGACATCGGTTCCTCCCGCGCGCGCACGCGGCAGCGTGACGAAAATCTGCGCGTTTCGACAAACATTCGACCAATGAATTCGATAATTTTTTAAAAGTAAATATACATCACGTGTAAAGTAGTTTTAATATACTTTCATTTTCGATAAAAATTTATCGCGATGAACAATCCATCACTACAATGATACCAGTCGAGTAGTGCATTGTAACAAAAGTTAGTTCTCAAACGAGCGTCAAAAGAATTTTGTAAATTAATGTTTGATACAATCAGGTATCAAAAAGTAATCTAGACGAGACAGAAGAAAAAAAAAGATGGAAAAAACAGAATACAAAAGAGCTAGCTACCGGCTTACATACTCTCGGGCACGTGCCACCGTATAAAAAAGGCGTGCAAGCTTGGCGAGACAAAAAGCCGTCAACATCTGTTGTGCGAGCGTAGAAAAAAAAAGGGTTTTTTTTTGTTTCTGCACGCTTCCACTAACGAACTGAATGGAAAAAAGTAATTGGTTTTGCTAGAGTTGATTAGATTAGCGGTGTAATAATAATTGTCGTTAAGGCATGTGTTGTTACGAATAATGAAGTGTTGACTGATTAGTGAGTGTATAAGCAGCTAATCCATCAATAGCCATTCAATATCTGTGCGTTTGGAGAAACATTTGAATAATGGATTCGTTAATTTTCAACAAATTATTTTACAGTCAAATTCCATCAAATGCTTTAGATATATTTGTTTATTGGAAAACCAGAGTTTTGCAAACTTCATTATATCTTCGAATAATGCAAAGGCGAGGATGTTCTCAGGTACTTTATTGAACGAGCGCTGACGCGAGCGCACACCGAGAATATTATGTGATGACGCTATACTGTTCAATTGAATGGCGAATTGTTTTTCCAAAATACTCCTTCCGAGACCAATTCGTCGCCGTTTCTTCGCGCGCGCGAGTTTATTTTTGACAACTGCGCGAGCAGGTGTCGTTTGCTGTTTCTCGGGCGCTTAGGAGAGCGAAACAGAGGAAGCAGGTGCGTTACAACTGGCAGAAAACAACGAAAATTCTCGATCGAATTTCAAATGTGCTACTCGTTCAAAAAAGTTATTTTACCGGGATATCATCGAATATAATAATATAATTTTTTTGTATCACGTTCATTGCAGAACAAAAACGATTTATTCTTGCACTTCCGCGAAATGCCTCATCTTCAGACAGGAAGCGATAAAAGAAAAGAATTGACCTTTGATGCGCGAAATGCCTGTTGTCACGGAATTGTACACTCTATCTCTCTTTCTCTCGGTCGAGGTTAACGAACCTAATCTTTGCCAAACCGACAAAAGGGCAGCTCGCGCTCCGTGTAAACTTCCTGCGACGTCCGGATTTGTAAGAGAGAGAGAGAGAGAGAGAGAGAGAGAGAGACGGGATTCCAGTTTTGCATTGAACGGGTTCTTACTTGCAACGCGCGCGCGCGAGACCTTTTTTAGTATCCAAGAGAGATTGGAGACACTCGATTTTCAGCCGCAGATCGGGGGCGAATTAAACTCGCAAGCCAGAGAAATGCATTGACTCTTACTATTTCCAGATTTGATTGAAGCTACTTGTTTTGTTGAGGTAGTGCGTGCGACATAGAATAACATTATGCTCTGACTGTTTGCAAATAGTCAAGGAACTGGTAGAATATAAGAGGCTTTGGAAAATGGTTATCGATGGCTTTTTTTATTGGGAGAAAAGAATTTGAAAAGCATTGTTGAATGACTAACTTGACGCAACTTGCACAAATAGAGTCTTTCTAGGATAAATCTTTCTTATCTATTATGTGGCTACTCAAAATTTCTCAGTACCATGATAGTAAAGACTTTTTAAATTGCTTATCCAGTTTTTTTTTTACAGAATGAAAGGATGGACTTTTAACTCTATATTGAATCTTCCGAATATTGCGGATCATACAGGTCTTCTTTCATATGTATTTTCCAATTATGACATTCGCGACGAACAAAAGCCGAATGAAAACTCAACGCCGACGTCGAAGGTCAAACTCGTATTTTATCCTAAGTAACGGCCAGCAGGATTCTAAGTCATACTCAAATAGCAAGTCCTCGCTATGCAAACATTACACCACTAACCGAAAAAATTTAGCGAACGCGTGAAATGATGAAAAAAAAAGCCACTCTAGTAGTTGAGCGTTCAAAACCGACATTAGATTTGGGTCGAAGCGCAGTTATGATTTCGCCCCGCACGAATAGCTCTCCCGCGGCTGTCAATGCGCGCGCGCCCGCGCTCGAGAGAGAGAGAGAGAGAGAGAGAGAGCGCAGTTTAACGACCTCGCCCGCGAGCGACTTTCCGTTAAATGCACTCGCTCGCTCTCAATTATCATCGTCGTCGTTTTCGCGGGGAAAACTTTTGCACCGCGCGGTTCCGCGAGCGCCCCCCCCGTCTGCCTCTGTCTCCGTCCCACGGCGCGCCGGGGTCGATGATAAATCACGTCCGTCGCAGCGGGATCGATTGCCGCCTCATCCTCGCGCGAGGCGACAATTGATTTCTAATAGGGAGCCGCGCTGCTTCGCGGATAACGCTGCGGCGAGTGGTAAGGCCGTAATTGTGCGCGCCGCCGTGCAGCAGATGGCGAGCGCACGGCGTACGCGTCGGTTACGGGTATTTATCGATTTTTTTTTAAGCGTTCGCGTGATATCCGCTTCGCGGTCGTTCGTTG